TATGGCGTCACCGCGGCCCTCGGTGCTTTCGCGTCGCTCTATCGCGCGGAATTCAACCTTGAATGCCTTCGCGGGCGTCGCTGGCGCACCATCGCCGCATGAACCTACCGCACCTGTCCCCCACCGACATGCCTGTACAGGGTCATCCTGAGCCCTGGCATGATGTATATACGCCCTCCCGGCCGTGGCCAGAAAAGTCGATACACTAGGTTCCTTTCTGGACATCCGCGCGGACCCTCGAAAAGTCATGCTCGTGCCGTTTGGCTGCCATCGGTCACAGAAGCGTAGAGCTCGCTTGGTCCGCATGATGGGAGCGCCGGGGAGCATATCGCTAGGCAGCCGCGCCGGACAACAAGTCAAACAGAGCGCAACGCGTGAGAAGACCAGGTGCGGTTGGGAACTGTTGCTTAGCGTGTCGCGGCGGCGGCTCCGGCGACACGCCGTGCCCTGCGAGGGGATGGCGTGCTGCTCCTCTGCGCAGGGCTGGAGGGTGGCAAAGCCTCGGGACGTTGACCCTTGGGAATGGCAGAGTGGATCGCGTGTCGCGGCGAAGCGCGGTTTTCCAGAACCGGTGGAGCGACACGCTATCCGAAAGTTCCCCACCGTTGGCGACACGCTATCCTAAAGATCCCCACCGCTGGGCCACCAGAAATCCCATGTGTCAGCTCAGAGGAAGGACGCGCCGCGGAAGGCCCCAAGAGATGCCAACTCCGTCGATGCTCGAAGGCGAAGGCCTTTCTGGGATGCCTCACGTCAGAAGACCAGGTAGGGCCGCCAGGAATCCCGCCTGTCGGCTCAGGAAAACGACGTGCCGCCTCTCTTCCCTGCGCTCTCCAGCCCCATCCCTCCACGCTCCCCTCGCCCCCCTTGCCCCTCGCCCCATCCTCAGGTGCAACGATAGGGGGGCTCAGGGGGGGGGGAAACTCGACCTGGCATCGGCAATACGTCGCCGAAAGATCGGCGATCGGCCCTCGATAGAGAGACCGGTCGATCTCGGGCGGAGCGGAGCTATGGGGCCCCTGTCGGCGATCAGCGGGCGATGGGGGGCCGAGGCCCTGAGCCTGGCCCCCCCCCCCCCCCGAAGTTGCCCACCGGACCTCCCCTCCCGTTCCCCCCCCCGCTCCCATTCCCAGTCCCCTCCCTCCCTCCCCTCCCCTCTCCTCCCCTCCCTTCCCTCCCCTCCCCTCCACAAGTATACAATATGAAAACTACTCTCCTCTCTCCCCTGGTGGCATCAGGGGAATGTCCGGCTCCCCTCCACGTACTGGTTTCTTACGCACAGGATTCCTGGGAGTTGGGTTTTCGCTTGGGTGTTTTTCAAAATGCTGCTCTCGCTGAAGCGCTAGCCTCATTTTCGGGCTACCGCTCGTTCCGAATCGTGCTCCCGCTGCAGGGCTGGCCTCATTTCCGCGCTTCGCTCGTTCGGAATCGTGCTCCCGCTGCAGCGCTGGGGTCATTAGTTCCAGCGCCATGCCACGGCATGATTTTCGGTCCTTCCCAATAGGTCCCACAGTCTAGAAAATGCCCCTCCGAAAAAACCATCGAAGTGATTACACATTCGGTGTCGATTCGTTGATTTGTGGGGCCGCAGAAGACCCCCCCACACACTTTGTGGCGTCGCCACGCCATGCTGTCAGGCTACGCGTCCTCATTTCCGCGCTTCCGCGCTTGTTTTTTTTCTGTTTTGCTAAATGCTGGTCTCGCTGAAGCGCTGGCCTTATGTTCGGGCTACCGCTCGTTCCGAATCGTGCCAGCGCTGCCATTTCCGCGCTTCCGCTCGTTCCGAATCGTGCTGCCGCTGCAACGCTGGCGTCATTATTTCCAGCGCCATGCCACGGCATGGTTTTCGGTCTATGCAAACAGGCCCCAAAATCTAAAAATGCCCCATCGAAAAAAAACATCGGAAGTGATTACTCACTCGATTTCGATTCGTTGACTTGTGGGGCTGCAGAACCCCCCCCCTGGGGCGTCGCCACGCCTTGCTATGTCATGTCAGGCTACGCATCCTCATTTCTGCGCTTCCGCGCTTAATTTTCTATTTTGCAAAATGCTGCTCTCGCTGAAGCGCTAGCCTTGAGTTCGGGCTACCGCTCGTTCCGAATCGTGCTCCCGCTGCAGCGCTGGCCTCATTTCTGCGCTTCCGATCGTTCCGAATCGTGCTCCCGCTGCAGCGCTGGCATCATTAATTCCAGCGCCGTGCCACGGCATGGTTTCCGGTCCTTCGAAATAGGCCCCAAAATCTAGAATGCCCCCCCCCCGAAAAAACATCGGAAATGATTCCACAGTCGGCGTCGATTCGTCAATACTTTGGGCCGCAGAAGCCCCCCCCCCACGTGGGGCGTCGCCACGCCATGCTTTGCCATGCTTCGCGTTGATGTTCGACACCATGTTATGCCATGTAATGCGATCGCATGCAACAACATCCGATTGTGCGACTAAAGAGGAGATCTACCCCATGGTACGGGATGGGAAGGAGGTGTAGGACATCAGATGTGACGCGAGCGCACCTAGCTTGCCTCCCCACCCCTCCACTGCCCTCCCATCCTCTCCCCTCCCCATCGCTGCTTGCCGGGACGCACTTTCGACGAGGACCATGATGTCTTACTTGTTCATCCGAGGGGCACACATGGTAGTCATGACGCCAGGAACAGAGGAGGGAGGTGCGATCGGGCCGCTGACCGTCCCGATGTACACGGAAGAACTGACCAGGGAGCTAGACGCAACAGGACAAGGCGTCACCATCCCAGTGGTCTGCGGCAACCGCGTCTGGCTGGGTTCTGGCACCCCGCACCAGGAGTTCGTGCGCCGCCTGGTCTTTGCGCTCAACGGAAGCGACCTCCTCCCGGCTCCTGAACTTTTCAGCGTCTCTCCAGACCACGAGGCGTCAGCGTTGCGGGCCATGGATCTCGCGGCCCCGCTGCGGCTGGCGGCCACTTCATGCGGATGACCCTGCGTTGTTTTCATCCTCTTAGGTAGGGGCCCAACAATGGAAGCACAAAGCGTACCCCCTATACCAAGCCAAATGAACACGCTGTGACTCTTACGGTTGATCCAGGCCACACCGCCGCGCCTCCCCCCTGGCCACCGCTGTATCTGCATCTGCACATGAGGAACGAGGCCGTGGTTGGGGCAGAGCTGCGCTGGGTTCTTTCGGGTGCAGGCAGGGCGATCATAGATGTGGCTATGAAAAATGCCGCCCTCTGGTGACGGGCGAATCAGATGATATCTATGGGGCAGTGTTTCGGCGGGCTCATAGCTGCTCCACCTCATGGGCAGCAAGATTACTGGACATGCTCTCTCGGTAGGAGATACTCGATTGGCCGCTCCGCTGTGGCAAACGAGGGCGAAGACGTCCAAGCCTCAATATAGATCATATCTGCAGGCATCGGCGCGCAAGAAGTGCAATGATCGCTGGAAACCGTGAGCGGCAGCACATGTGCTGCCAGAGCCTTCCCTCCAGCTGAAGGGCGAACCGTTCACAGATCTCGCGAACGCCTTCAGGGCCAGCCTGTCGTGGAAGACTCTCTTGGGGCAGCGAACTCTGGCAGGGCTCGGGGCGCACCTCGTCCGACGAACGCACCAAGAGGTCCGGGAAGCGGGGGCGAAACAGCAAAGCTGCATCTGGCGCGACGAGGACACCCCTGCATAGGGGACGCGCATCACGCGGCGGAGCGCTGGCCGGCCGGGGCCGCCGCGCGCTCGAAGCTCCGCTCGGCCGGAGCAGGCGCGAGCGGATAAAGGCCTGCTGGGGCAACTGCTCGCTGCGCGCAGGCAGGTTATCGGGCGGGGGCCGGGCGGGCGGAGGGCCCTTGGCGCCACTGCCGCGCAGCGCCTCTGGGCCAGAGAGAGCTTGAGAATCAGCTCACGTAGCTGATTTTCCCGGTGCCTCCCGGCGCCAGGAGTCGCCCGTGTGTCGAGGAATGGGCCCAGCGGCGGGGCCGAAACCAGCTGCATGCAGCAGATTTCGTAACCCCCCCTTTCCCTATCCCCCCCCTGTCGTTCGGCCAGCGAGACCAGAGGCGGACCAGGCAGGGAGGCGCGACAGAGCGCTCGCTTTCCTGCCCCCCGCCTCCCTTCCCGACCAGGCCCTCGTTCCGTGGAGGCGGGTCCAGACCCCCTGTCCGCCACAGCAAGGGGCATGGCGGCGTCACTGGCACGGGGCCGCACCGAGGCTGCGCTGCAGCAACAAAACAATGCCTCCCTTAGGCGGTCCGCGCCTGCTCCGCACTTCAGGACCGCCTCTGGAGTGGATCCCTGGCGCGGGCCTCGGACGGGAACGGCCGTGGCTGGCGACACATTGTTCAGGTGCTGCCTGCTCCTTAGCTGCCAGGCTGGGGGTCAGAGTTACTCATGGCCAGAGGGCTCTTCGGGAGCGATGCTACAGGGCAGTTTTAATACATAGGACTTAAGCATTAGGATTATAATGCATGATGCATTTATGAATAAACTGGTGCATGAACTCATCGCTGTTTTTAAATACTAGATCCTGAATCTTGAACACATGATCCGCACGCGGAGCATGCATTCAAAAAGGCACTGTACTCCCAGGCTTTGCTGCCTCGGGCTCTCGATGCGCCGCGGGGGGGGGGGCTCTCTCTCGCCGACCCGGGGCCTTCGCCCCTCCGCCCGCCCGGCGCCCCTGCCCTCGGACTCCTCAGGGCAGGCGGAGCGCGCGCGGAGCCGTCGGGACCTCACGGGACGGGGCTCGGCCCGCCCCCGGGGCGACCACAAAGGGACACCTGTGCCCGCAGGTCCGCCAGCGCTCGCCCCCCCACGCACCCACCAACCGACCTCCCGCCCCCTCCATCCCCTCCCTCCCCTCCCCTCCCCTCCCCTCCCTCCCTCCCCTCCCCTCCCCTCCCCTCCCCTCCCTCCTCCCCTTCCCTTCCCATCCCCTCCCCCCCATCGTTCCAGGGAGTCTGGCGTCACAGCGCCTCCCGCTGCTCGCTGATCCTCCCTGCGGCACACGACGCGCTCCGGCCCTCCCGACGCGCAGGCGCGCTCCGAACAGCCGTCCGGAAGGGAGCCAACGAAGATCTTCCTCGGCCCAGGAGCAGCCTGCGGGCAGAGGGGGCTCCTGCTCCTGCTCCTGCTCTTGCTCCTGCGCCTCCTCCTCCTCCTCCTCCTCCTCCTCCTCCTCCTCCTCCTCCTCCTCCTCCGTCCCAGGGGGGCGGCCCTCTAGGAGCGGGCGCGGGGGCGCTGGGGCGCTGGTGGCGAAAACTCAAGACCTCTTGCTGCAAACTTTGTGGCTGGCGTACGGGCGGCGGGGGCGGAGGAGAGAAGCAGGGCAGGCAGAGAAGAGGGCCGTCGCGCTGACATTAGGAAGATTCTTCCATCTGGCCTTCGACCGGGCATGTGTATGCGTCCACCCTGGATCGCCACCAGAGCAGCTGGGTGAACAGTGCGAGTTCCCGCGGGGATAACGGCATGTCCGCGAAAGGTGACCCAAGGTAAGTTGCACAAGCTCAGCCCCCAAGCAGCGATGCATGCGAGCCCAACCAGCACCGTCGGCACGCCAGAAGAAGAAGAAGAAGAAAAGCAAAAACTTCATTTGGCGCTTCGCGCGGATTTCTTGGATCTGGGCTGGACTCCCCTCCCTGGCGCGCGGAGCGCGCCAGGGGCGGCGCCAGAAACGCCGCTGGGGGGTCCCAGCGCGGATCCAAGAAATCCGCGCGGAGCGCCAAACGTTTATATATATATATATATATATATATATATATATGCTGTGTTTTCTTTTTCGAAGAAGGGCGAGGGTTCTCACATGCGCGCGGTCCTCCAGGACGCTGGGGCGTGTCAGTGGAGGCCGTGATCGCTTCGGCAGGCTGCGTGAGCCACAGGGGGGGCGGAGAACGCAGCATGCGTGATCGCCTCCACGCGGCTCTTGGCTGCGAGGTGGGGGCACGCGGCCCTCCCAGGAGGAGTGACGCCTGCAGCCTCTGTCCAAGGCCGGGCTCACGGCGATGCTGCTCAACGGTGCTGTCGGGAACCGAATGGTGGGAGATCGCGAGCCACGCCCTCCCGTATCCTCCTGTCTGCGAATGGGTCGAGCGAACACGGCGCAGCGAGCTGCAGGGAAGCGCGAGCCAAGCGCTCCCACGCTACCGGGACCTGCATCGCCGTTACCTACATCGCCGTCAGCCCGTCTACGGTCTGTGCGCCAGCCTTCCACTCGATTCGCCTGCGTGCCCTGGCCCTCCTTAACACATGTCTGCTGCTAAGGTCCAACATGCCACTGCAATCTGCTAGTGTCGACAACGAGTGCAGGTCGATGGCTGCACTGAGTTATTCCAATAAGAAGAGCGCCAACGTTTGAAGCAACAAGCGTTACAGCGGCCCTCAACTGAGAGCGGAGTGCTGCCATTGGCAAATGACATATCACTGCTACCAGGCGGGCAGTACAGGGGAGACAAGCCCTGAGGGTGGACCACATCATGGCAGCAGTGGCAGGCAGCCAACTGCGAAGCCTAACCACACTTCTCATCGTTTCTGGACTTCGAGGGGCTCACCAATGCCGTTCGACTTCGCTCGTGCCAAGTCGTGGGTGGTGAATCGCCATTGGTGAACCCGTGCTGGTTCAAGTCGATTGGCGGTGGGGGTAGGGTACACAGGTGGCTGCCTAGGTGAGGGAAGATGGACAAGATGGGATGAGAGATTGAAAGAAGATGCCATCGCGCCTGCACGGGTGCGGCGACCTCCGCGCAGCATTGCAGTACAATGCACAGGCTATAAAAGATACCCAACAGCAATGATCACAAGTCGTGGCGCCCAAATGCCAGAAACAGACAACTGCTTGCCAAGACCGCAGACCAACACGTACCATGATAGAGTGCAACCAGTTGGAAGGAGCTTGCATGACACGAGAAATGGTGACAACTGCAACAATCGCACATGGTTGACACAACCTGAGTTGAGTCGCTCAGTGGGACATTGGTCGAGGCGCCTGCTGGACAGGTTGCGCAGATTCCTGGGCGTATTGGCTGGCGGGAAACAGCTAGCAACTGAAAGCGGCAAGGAACGAGTTTAGCAAGGGGGTGCGCGATGCATCATCGGGGCAAATCAAATCACAAGAAACAATACGTCCATACCACCATACCACCATACCAACGACCACCAAATTGCAGATACGCAGCGAAGTGAAGACGATGAGGTCGCTGGCGGGTGCGTCAGAAATCCATGAGTTCCCAGCCAGCGCATGACTCATCCAACTCGGAGTCCCTTCACGAACAGAAGCGTGAGCAGCTTTCGACATCGCTGCCAGTCAGCACACTGCGGCGGCACAGCGCTGGCCGGCGTCCCTGTCCCCAGTCCCCCCCCGTCGACGCGTGCAGTGGCAATGGCCTGGCGCCTCGTGCCTCCCGCGCTGGCAAGCGTCATCGCTGACCGTTCACCCTTCGTCTTGCATGTCGAAGGGAACGAAATGACATAAACATAAAAAAGTCCGCGCGGATGTCTTGAATCCGCGCAGGTCCGGCGCCGCACCTGGCGCGCTCCTCGCGCCAGGGAGGGAGGTCCAGCGCGGATCCAAGGAATCCGCGCGGACCTCCGAGTTCTATGTTCATGTCATTGTTCGTTTCCCTAGTGCTTCCGAAGAGAGGACGGGCCGCCAAAAGACTAAAGTCGATGGGCTGACACATTGACCGGGCAGATACCTCAAGCCAGATTTGACGACCAAGGGACGAGCGGACGGCCGGATGGGACGGCAAGTCAACGGACCAACGTTCCATCGATTTGAAAATGGACCGCGGGCCGCTACTCTTGGGCGCTCCGAGCGCTCCTGGACCAGACCGCGTCCACTGCATCACCTTCCTTACCCATGCTAATTCGCCCCAAAATGGGCGCAGGAGGAGAAACAGGAGCGGGAGGAGGAAAAGCAAGATAGGCATGAGTATGAAGATCGTTACACCAAGTATAAAAAATGGCGCAGCGCAACCACACGACACATGATCAGATCCCCTGCCTCCCTCCATACACAAGGCTGACGGCAACGTCCCATCCAGCAAATCTGTAAACACGGAGCCCTGCTTCAGGGTTTGCTGGCTGAACGGGCCACTGCCAGGCCGGATCCCTCACACGCCCTGCAGGTAAAGAGGAGCAGCTGCTCGTGTGAAGCCCGCGCTCGCGAGGCGGGCGGCCCTGGGAGGTCTGTGGACCTCTCTGGGGCCGAGCACGCCCCAAGAGCTGGCGAAAATGCCCCATCGACCTACAGGACAGTTTTCTTTTATACATGGGATGTTTAAAAATATATGAGTGTAAATGCATGATGAATGTATGAATAAATTTGTGCATGAACTCATCATTGTTCTTAGTACTAAACCCCTGCATGTTCAATACATGCTCCGCATGCGGAGCATGTATTAAAAACGGCACTGTACAGAGGCGCTCAGCTGGCCGTTCAAGACAGCTGAAGAGAGCTTCGACTCGGTACACCCCTCAAGCACGTCGTGCCTCATGGACCCTTCGAGGCGCTCAGCTGGCCCTTCAAAGCTGCACAAAGAAGCAGCATGCAGGCGCACCCCTCACACACGTGTGCCCCTATGCGCCTTCGGAGAAGCACACCTAAACCCATCATGGCGGTTCCTGGGATCCTCAACCCAGCATTTCGTGCCCCATGCGCTTCCAGCTACGCTCAGGTGGTTTTCCAGGCGGCTCAATCAAGCCTCAACTCGGCACACCCTCACGCACTCCATGCCCCATGGATTCCCGTTGGCCCTCGCCCGGCCCTGGGAGGCCCAGCAGCGACAAGACGGCCACGGGAGGCCTCGACTCCCCAGGGGAAGTCACGATGGCCCCAGGAGTAGAGGGAGGGGGGGAAGCAGCAGCAGCGGAGGAGGAGGAAGAGGACGAGGAGGAGGAGGAACAGGAAGAGGAGGGGGAGGAGGAAAAGGAGGAGGAGGAGGAGCAGCAGCTAAAGGGCGCCCAGCGCTCCTGGCCCTGGCCGTACATACCCTGATTCCTCGCGAGGGTGACCTCGCAGGGCCTGGCGGCCCCTGGCATGAAGAGCAGGCGGTCGGTGCTCACCTCGCGCGCCCGGCGCTGACCGCGCCAGCCCGCGTCGCGAGCAGATCGTGGCGAGCGGTTTTTCCACGTGCGCGAGGTGTGCGAGGCGGGTATACCTTCCTAGATAGGGTCGGAGTAGGTGTGGTCGGAAGATTGCGCCAGATCGCCGATACATCGGCGAGGCATCGGCGATGCGTCGGTGATGCACCGGCGATGCATCGTCGACGTCGGCGGTGCATCGGCGATGTCGGCGTGGGTAAACTCAGGCTCCAAATCGAGCCGCATCGCGGGTGCATCGGCGATGCGCCGTGATCCTCCGACCCCATCTACTCGGACCCCATCTAGGAGGCCTAGAGTATATCCGTATCCACCGCCTGTGGAACCGATGCCCCGGAGCCCCACCGGGCAGCAGACACTTCGGCCCCAGGGGGGCCGAACATATCCACATCCACTGCCTGCCGAGGTCCCCGAAGATCGATCCCCCCAGGCGGTGGAAAGGGATTAAGCCCCCACCTCGGGGGGCGAATTTGAACACCTAATTGTGGAATGATAATCAACATTTCCGAGGCAAAATCGCACGACGTTCTCAAAGGACGACGTGGAGAAACGCTGTGAGTTCATGCATCACGATGGTCTTTGGCGGAGGGTGCGAAACGAAATGTTGCAATCGGACCAGAGACCCCCTGAGCAACACCGACTTTTTCTTGGAAAGATGTCCGAGCTGCACAAACTATGCCCGAGATGATGGGTCATACCGTAGAACATGTATGTGAGGCCATAGTGGCCCTTCTTTGCAGAACGCCCCGTATTTAATGTGTTGGGAAAGACCATACAGGTGGAGCCAATGATGCAACCTCTGGCCAATAACACATTCATGTACTACGACATCAGAGTTTCAGCGCTCCAGCGCCCCTTACGAGCTCTCAGGGAGCCGCCCCTGGGGGCGTACAGCGGCGCTGGTCCTTGTCCTTGTCCTTGTCCGTTTCCTCCTCATCCTCCTCATCATCATCCTTCTCATCATCATTATCATCCTCACAATCCTTCTCTTCCTCCCCCCTCCCCACCCTCACAAAACTGCTACTCCACATCACCCTCGTCCTCTCCCGCCCCTCCCCCGTCCCCGTCCCTGTCCCCTGCTCACGTCGACGCTCCCCCTCCTCCCCCCTCCTCCGAGGAGGCGGAGGGAGGAGAGACTGGGGGCAAGCTAGGTGAGCTGTCGCCATCTCTGACATCTTATCCCTCCCTCCCTCCCAATCCCAATGCGCTGATCGCGAACGCGGACGCGTACCATCCCTTCCTAAACGCGCTTATCTATCCGCGGACGCGTGTCATAGCCGACCTGGAACGCCAACGGAACGACACTTATCGTGTTGTGCGCAATCGGAAAGGAGGAGCTGCGTAGAAAAGGAGGAGGATGTGGAAGGAGGAGGGCGAGGACGAACAGCAGCAGCAGCAGCAGGAACCAGGGCAGAAGGAGCGGGAGGAGCAGAAGGGCCAGGGCAAGGCGGAGGAGGGGGAACGAGGGGGGCCGATAACGATGACAAAGGACTCGGACCCAGAGAAGTGGCCCGCGCTGGGGAGAGAGCGCCACCTCTGAACGACGGGAGCAAAGCGCCGACCCGAAAATGAGGCCCAGGCTGGAGCGGGAACATCAATTTAGAAACTCCGCAACATCGAAGGGTAAACAAGCCATACGGCAAATCCCCTTTGCCCAATCCAATATACAAGCAATACGCGGAGAGAGCCGGCTATCTTCGGGACGGAAGCAGGGGAGAGAGGAATAGTTCTCAGAATGTGTAACTGAGGGGGAGGGGGGGAGAGGCGAAACGGAGGGACGGTGGAGGGAGAGGGGAGGGAGGGGCGCGGGTGGAAGGGGGAGAGGGGGGATGAGGGGGGGGAGGAGGAGGAGGAGGAGGAGGAGGAGGAGGACCAGAGTAAACCCAAGAGTCATCAACGATATTGGAATTAACTCTCCCTCCAAGCTCCCTCCTCATTGGCCCCTACAACGGTTCATTTCCATTGAGGGAACTGCCTTGCTGGAAGACAACCGTTTAAAGATCCTGAAGCATGCCAAAACATTGTTCTCGGGATTTCAACGCCACGTATCAACCTGACTGCTGCGTTTTGGCGATCTGGATTCGTGCCTTAACGCCATTTTAAACATTTCAACACCGCGAACCAACATGACTGTTGCACCCGCATAATCCTGAATCCTCCCAAAGCACTATTTTTGGTACGCTGATCATGAGAATCCGTTAAACATTTGCCATATGTTGCAAAGAATGTGCGCGGCGCTGAGGCGAGAGCCACATTTTGACAACGCCCGCCCTCAATCCGTGAAACTCTTGCAACTTGTCACAAAGAATGTGCGCGGCGCTGAGGCGAGAGCCGCATTTTGACAACGACCCGCCCTCAATCCGTGAAACTCTTGCAAACGTTGAAAAACGAATGTGCGCGGCGCTAAAGCGAGAGCCACGTGTTGAAAACCACCCGCCCTCAATCCGTGAAACTCTTGCAAATGTTTCCAAAGAATGACCGCGGCGCTAAGGCGAGAGCCACATGTTGAAAACCACCCGCCCTCAATCCGCGAAACTCTTGCAAATTTTGAAAACGAATGTGCGCGGCGCTGAGGCGAGAGCCGCATTTTGACAACGACCCGCCCTCAATCCGTGAAACTCTTGCAAACGTTGAAAAACGAATGTGCGCGGCGCTAAAGCGAGAGCCACGTGTTGAAAACCACCCGCCCTCAATCCGTGAAACTCTTGCAACTGTTTCCAAAGAATGACCGCGGCGCTAAGGCGAGAGCCACATGTTGAAAACCACCCGCCCTCAATCCGTGAAACTCTTGCAAGTTTTGAAAACGAATGAGAGCGGCGCTAGGGCGAGAGCCACATGTTGAAAACCACCCGCCCTCAATCCGCGAAACTCTTGCAAATTTTGAAACGCAATGCACGCGGCGCTAAGGCGAGAGCCACATTTTGAAAACCACCCGCCCTCCATAAAGCTTCATAAATGGTGGGAAAGTCTCAGGCGAAACGCCCAGCCCGCCCTAAAAACTGGCCTCGGGGTGCGACAGGGAGGAGTTATCTATGAGGAGAAGGAATGGAGGGAGGAGGAGGAGGAGGAGGAGGAGGAGGAGCAGCAGAAGGAGAAGCCTCCCCCATCCGGGCTGGCCTTGGCAAGCTGGGCCTCGTGGCCCGACGAGAAGGTGACGAACGCCCACTGCCGCCCCGGCTCACAGCCCTGCGGCTGCCCAGCCCGCCCTAAAAACTGGCCTCGGGGTGCGACAGGGAGGAGTTATCTATGAGGAGAAGGAATGGAGGGAGGAGGAGGAGGAGGAGGAGGAGGAGGAGCAGCAGAAGGAGAAGCCTCCCCCATCCGGGCTGGCCTTGGCAAGCTGGGCCTCGTGGCCCGACGAGAAGGTGACGAACGCCCACTGCCGCCCCGGCTCACAGCCCTGCGGCTGCCCAGGGCGGGGGGAGGGGGCTGTCAGGAGCGGGCATCGGGGGAGGGGCCCCCCCTCGCTTCGAGCCCCCCCACCCTGCAACTCAGGGGAGGGGGCCCTGTGCGCGTCGTCGTCGCCGTCGCCGTCGCCGTCGCCGTCGCCGTCGCCGTCGCCGTCGCCGTCGCCGTCGCCGTCGCGATCGCCGTCGCCGTCGCCGTCGCCGTCGCCGTCGTCATCGTCGTCGTCGTCGTCGTCGTCACTGCCCGACGGCGCCTGCGCCAGCACCGGCCCTCGCCGTCGTCGGTTGCTGGGGGGGGCCCTGTCGTCGTCGCTCACAGGCGCCAGCGCTGGCGCTGCCGCTCGCCGTCGTCGGCTGCCTGGGGGAGGGCCCTCCCGGTTCGAACCTCCCCCCCCCGCCTTGCATCTCAGTAAGTGTCGCCCGCCCTGGTTCGAACCTCCCCCCCCCCCCCTGCAGCTCGACGGAGGGATCCCCCCCGTTCGAACCCCCCCACCCCTCGGAGGTTGGTACCCCATGGAAACCCTAACCTCCGGAGATTCGGGTTTCGTACCTCGGAGCTTGGCACGCTAACTTCCGGAGGTTAGAATTTCGTACCTCGGAGATTGGAGCACTAACCTCCGGAGGGTTGGGTTTCGTACCCCAGAGTTCGGAACACGAACCACACGACAGTCAGGGCGCTTGCCACCAAACCCTCGCAAGACGAAACAACGCCAAGCATAAGTGACTGTAAGCAACCAGCCAGAAGGGGGAACACATAAAGAAGCATCGAGAAACAAAGAGAAGCAGGGAGGCTCCAACAAGAACCTCCAGATGTCAGGGTGTCCGATTTGGGAACTTACCGGGACATCACGAAACGACAAGGAAGCAGAAAGCTGAGGAACCAGAGACCTGTCTACACTGAGAGAGAAGCAACACGAAACATGGATACTCATAGACAAACCAAGTGAAAACGAGATGATGCAACATGCATAGCAGACGTGGGAATACAAGCTCGTGCGGTTTGCGGAAACATGTGAAATCGACGTTGCACTTCTCATGGAAGTGGCACTCGCGTGCCGCGCACGCCTAGCCGACGTGGGCCCAACAAGAGAACAGCATTGGGCGACGTCTGGTGCGCCGAAGCGGCGGCCCCTGCGCGCTCGCTCCACCTTGAAGCTCGCTGTGCCCCTCTGGCTGGCCTTGCTTCCTTCTGCTTGTCTCTGTGTCCCTCAGGTTGGCCTTGTCTCCTCCTGTCTGTCTCTGTTCCTCTCTCTCTCTCTGTATGGGGAGGTGCTGGGAGGCAGGAGCCCCCTGACCTCCGGAGGTCAGACTTCTAACGTTTTGTTCTTCCGTGTTTCGCTGTTCCCCTCTGGTTGGCCTTGCTTCCTTCTGCTTGTCTCTGCTTCTTCCCCGGTATTGGGAGGTTCCGAAGATGGAGAAAACGCGTTTCACGGGCGCTTGTCTTGGAAACATTCGGCGGCGCGTTTCGAACCGGGGGGGGCCCACCCCCCAACACTCGGCGCCATCGATGAAAACCAAGGGGACTCCCCTCCCCCCCAAACCCTCCCCCCGAGCCCCCCCCCCCTTTCCCAAGGGGGAGAGGGGGGGTTCAACCCCCCCCCCCCTCCCCGGCGCTGGTGCCGGCGCTGGCGGCAGCCAGCAGCGCCGACGGCGGGGACGCAGCGACGATGACCACCAGAGGCAGCCCAAGGGGGGGGGAGGGGTTCAAACCCATCCCCCCGCCCTGGCGCAGGCGCCGGCGCTGGCGGAGGCCAGCAGCGCTGGCGCTGGCGCCAGCGACGGCGGAGACGCAGCGACGATTACCACCACTACCACCACCGCCACCACTACCACCACCACTACCGCCTCAACCCACCACACACACCACCACCACCAACCCACCACACAACTACCACCACCACCACCACAGCCACCACCACCACCACAACCACCACCACCACAACCACCACCACAACTCACCATCACCACCACCACCACCACCAGCACAAAAACCAACCACCACTACAACCACCACCCCCACAATCTACCACACCACCACCACCACCACCACCGCCACAACCACCACCACTACTAGCAGCACAACCCACCGCCACCACCTCAAACCACTGCACCACCACCACAACCACCACCGCCACCACCACCGCCACCAGCACCACGTCCACAAACCACCGCCACCACCACAACCTACCACCACCACCACCACCACAAACCACCACCACACCACCACCACCACCACCCCACCACAACCATCACCACCACAACTCACCATCACCACCAACACCACCACAAAAACCAACCACCACTACCACTACCACCACAATCTACCACACCACCAACACCACAGCCACAACCACCACCACTACTAGCAGCACAACCCACCGCCACCACCACAAACAACCACACCACCACCACCACCACCGCCACCGCCACCACCACCAGCACCACCTCCACAAACCACCGCCACCACCACAACCCACCACCACCACCACAAACCACCACCACACTGCCACCAAACCACTACCACAACCACCACAACCCACCACCACCACCACCACCACCACAAACCACCACCACACCACCACCCACCACCACCACCCATCACCACAACCACCACCACCACCACAACAACAAACCACCACACCACCACCACCACAACCACCACCACCGCCACCACCATCACCACAACCCACCGCCACCACCACCACCACCACCGTCGTCCTCGTCGACGCTCCCCGCCGCCGCCGCCCGCCGCCGCAGGCGCCGGCGCCGGCCCAGAAAAGGAAATCGTTGTCCCCGCCGCCGCCGCCAGCCGTTGCCGACGCAAGCGCCGGCCCGAGGAGAGCAGGGGAAGCAGGGGAGGAAAGGGGGGGGGAGTTCGAACCTCCCCCCCCCCTCCAAGTGACCACAGAACGCGCTCTTTCCGAAGTTGACTACCTACCAGACCAACCCAAACCAACCCGAAGACCCGAATTTCGCGTTGGGGGGTACGGGCTTCATGTGTGTTTTGTTGTCTATGCTCCCCGACCCCCCCACTGGAAATGGAGGGCAAATTGAGGCCTTCGGGTTGAGGTGGGGTGGTTTGGTGGGTGGTGAGAATGAGAAAACCCGAACCTCGGCAGGTTAGTCTTCCAACTTCCGGATTCCAATGTTTTTTCCCGGTTCGACTCCTCCCCCCCTTGGCCCTTAGGCAGAAGGGGGCCCCCCCCAGCTCGAGCCCCCCCGCAACTCAGGGGGTGGTGGGCCACCCACCCCCCGGTTCGAACCCCCCCCCCCCCTGAGTGGGGGCTTCCCCCTCGGGTTCGACCTCCCCCCCGCCGTCCCAGCGTCACCTGCTCGCGCTTTTCCAGATTGCCCGAAGTGGCCCCCAGGAAGGCACCAGGGAGAGCCCCACGAGGGCGCCAAGACGGACACCCAGAAGGGCCCCCGGAAGACACCCCGGTGCTCGGCCCAAGTGTTCAGCGTCGTGCGCGTGGAGACCACCACATCCCCGAGCACCGATCGGGAGATTGGCGCGCCAGGCTTCCCCCTATGGGGGCTGGCCGTGGCGCCAAGTCCGCGGCGACACCGGAAGCAATCCGTGAACAAAATGGACAAGAACTGCTGTCGGTCTTCGTCCCCGTTCCTTCCGTAGCCAATTCAACCGTACCGATTTCACACCGCCGTTTCTCGAAAAAACATGCAGCGCCGGCCGGTCCTCCTTGAGGTACGTGTCGGTGATCACGCCATACTTGCAGAACTCGATCTGCGGGCAAACGCCACGTGGTCGGCGGCAAAAGACGACAATGAAGGCCATGATGACAACCTCCTCATCCTCCTGGCTCACTCACTCACTCACTCACTCACTCACTCTGTCCCTCTTTCCTCCTCCCTGATCCCTCTCCCCTCCGCTCTCCCCCACACTCCTGATTCCTCCTCCTCCTCCTCCTCGTCCTCGTCCTCCTCCTCCTCCTCCTCCTCCTCCTCCCTCCCTCCTCTTCCTCCTCCTCCTCCTCCTCCTCCTCCTCCTCCTCCTCCCTTCCGGCCTCCCTCCCTCCCTCCCTCCTCTTGATCCTGCTCCTGCTCCTGCTCCTGCTCCTGCTCCTGGTCCTCCTCCTCCACCTCCTCCTCCACCTCCTCTCCTCCTCCTCTCCTCCTCCTCCTCCTCCTCCTACTCCTCCCTCCTCCTCATCTACTCCTCCTACTCCTCCACTCCTCATCCTCCTCCACCTCCTCCTTCTCCTCCTCTTGCTCCTCCTCCTCCTGGTGTTTTATTATTCTTCATCGTGTTCACATGATTGGTACTATCGTTATTATTAGAATTATGTCTGGTTAGTAATACCATTATTATTAATTGTTCAATGTATGGTGCTATCGTTTTATGAGTAGTATGATTAGTATTATTACTACTATTATGAGTACTATGAACGGTAGTGTTGATAATGTTAAAAGTATTACTCGTGCTATGCCTATTCGCATTAGCAACATCAGTATTGTTAATCGCACTCTTCTTATTCGTCGTATTACTATTCTTAGTTGTCCTTATTCTCCTCCTCCTCCTCCTTCTCCCTCCTCCTCCTCCTCCTCCTCCTCCTCCTCCTCCCTCCTTCTCCTCCTCTCATCTCCTCCTCCTCATCCTCCTCCTCCTCCTCCCTCCCTCCCTCCTCCCTGTCCCTCCCTCCCTCCCTATGTCTCTCCTCCTCCTCCTCCTCCTACTCCTCCTCTCCTCCTCCTCCTACTCAGCATCATCCTCATCATCCTCTTCTCCTACCTTCTCCTTCTCCTTTCTCCTCATCTTACTGCTTCTCCTCCCCTCCTCCTCCTCCGTCCTCCTCCTCCTCCTCTTCTCCTCCTCCTCCTCCTCCTCTTCTTCCTCCTCCTGCTCCTCCTCCTCCTCCGCCTCCTCCTCCTTTTTCCTCGCGCGTAGCCGAGGGCGCGACAGGTACAGCTCCTCCACTTGCGCCTGGTAGGCAGCTGTACAGAGGCTAAGCCTCGCCACCTGAAAACGGGCAATGGGCAAGACATACTGAGCTTGCCTCATGTTGATCCCCCCTGCAGGGCGGAGTGCAAAACATGCATCGCGTTGCACAATGAATGCGCGCAAGGACAGGAGAGCGAAAAACGAGTTCTGGAAGAGGCGAGCAGTCCTAGTCCAGCGATGGGCTCGCCGACAACTTCCACCTCCTCATCCTCCTCCTCCTCATCCTCATACTCCTCCTACTGCTCATCCTCTTCCTCCTGCCCCACCTTCCTTACGAGGAAGACAGAACTACATCAACATAATTTGTGTGAGGCCCGCGCTGCTTCTTGGAATCGCCGCTGAACCTCCCTCTCCGCCGCGAGCGGCGCGCCAGGGGCGGCACCTGAGGCGCCGCCAGGGAGGCACAGCGCCGCTCCAACAAATCCGCGTGGCCCTCCGAACGCTTATGCTTATACCATGTGTGGTTATTCGAACAGTATCCTTCTCCGCCTTCCTTCTCCTCCTCCTCCTCCTCCTCCTCCTCCTCCTCCTCTTCTCCTCCTCCCTCCTCCTTCTCCTCCTCCTCTCCTCCTCCGCCTCCTCCTCGTTCTCCTTCTCCTCCTCCTCCTCCTCCTCCTCCTCATGATCATCACCTCCGCCTCTCCTCCTACCACACGCTCCTCATCCCTACGTTTCCTCCGCCTCCTCCTCCTCCGCCTCCTCCTCCATCTCCTCTCCTCACCCCCTCCTCCTCCTGACTCCTCATCCTACTCTCCTCCTCCTCCTCTCCTCCTCCTCCTCACATCCTGTCCTCCTACTCCTCCTCCTCCACCCCTCCTCTCTCTCCTCCGCGTTCTCCTCCTCCTCCTCCTCCTCCTCCTCCTCCTCCTCCTCCTCCTCCTCCTCCTCTTCCTTCTCATCCTTCTTCTTCTGATCATTATTATTTTCCGTTTCCTCCTCCTCCTCCTCCTCCTCCTCTTCCTCCTCCTCCGTTTCGTCCTCCTCCTCCTCCTCCCTCCGCCGCGCCTTACAGGAAGAACAAACAGCATACACATAGGCGTTCAGAAGCCCAACGCCGATCTAAGAGATCCGCGCGAACGTTCGAAAGCGTCTAATTACGTCGTTGTGTTTGTTCGATATCCCCTCGGGCTGGCATGAACCAAACGAGTCCAGAGGGAAACGGGAGCTGGATGCTGGGCCTTCCCCTACGACAGGCCTTCGTCCTGACCATCGTTTGCTGATGGTCCCTGGGCCCGTGGAAGGACAAAGAGCCCGAAAACGGCGAAACGACTCAGGATCCGCTTCTGGAGGTCTCCCACATGGGGTCGGAGTAGATGGGGTCGGGGGATCGCCCCGCATCGCCGATACATCGCCGACGCATCGGCGATGCATCGGCGACGTCAGCGACGTTGGCGACGCATCGCCGTCGCCGGCGTGGGGAATCAGGCTCCGCATCGGGCCGCATCGCCGATGAATCTCGGATGCATCGGCGATGCGGCGCGATCCTCCGACCCCATGCATTCCGACCCCGTCCGGGAGGCCCAGAGTGGAGGGCCCCGAGAGCCCGAGAGATGGCGCGGAAGCTCAGGACCCGTCTCCCGGGCGACCCGCGCTGGCTCCGCGGCGATCGTGCGAGGAGGGGGTTCGTCCATACCCGCCGCCCGTGTGGAGGTGAACCCAAAAACGATCCTCTGGGCGGTGGTTATGCACAAACTCCCGCCTCGAAGGTCGGGGGCCTGCAGCTGCTCCGCCGTCGTGCCGTCCGGCAGCGACCCCACGAAGATCTTCCTGGGGCCCTCGGCCGCCGCAGGCGCGGCCTCGCGGCGCCGCCGCGGTGCTCCCGCGGATCCCGCCCTCCTTGAGGCGAGGACAGGCAAGGGGAGAGAGGAGGAAAGAGAAGAGGGGAGAGAGGAGAAAGGAGAGAGGAGAGAGGAGGAGAAGGAGGAGGAAAAGGAGGAGGAGGAGGAGAATGTTTTGTTGCTTGCCGCGCAACGCCTGCGCCCCTTCGGGGCAAAATCTCGGGGGTCCGTTCCTCCTCCAACCCCACCCGGCGGGCGCACCATGAAGAGGAGGAGGAGGAGGAGGAGGAGGAGGAGGAGGAGGAAAGGGAGGAGGAGGAGGAGGGGGAGTAGGAGGCCAGGAGGAGGAGGAGGAGGAGGAGGGGGAGGAGGAGGAGGGGTAGGAGGAGGAAGGAGGAGGAGAGAAGGGAGAAGGAAGAGCGAAGAGGAGGGAGGAGGACGGGGAGGGGGAGGAGGGGGGGAGGAGGAGGAGGAGGTGGAGGAGGAGGAGGAGGAGGAAGAGGAGGAGGTGGAGGATGAGGAGGAGGAGGAGGAGGAGGAGGAGGAGGAGGAGGGGGAGGAGGGGGGGAGGAGGGGGAGGAGGGGGAGGAGTGTCATGAGTGTCATAGATCCAAGAAGTAAATGAACGGCGAGCGAGGCTCAACCGTCACCCTCGGCCTCCCAGACAGGAGGAAGGGGCCAGCAGGCGCCAGCACCGACGGTCAGGGGAAAGGCAGATACCTCGTCGCTCAGCGACTCGCTGCCCAACCGAGACGGCGTGGTGCGTAGGGGGACAGCCGGTTCACCGCGTCACCGCGCAGTACTTCCCGACCGTCACCCCTGCCGAGTCGGATGGCATGTGCAACTGGGTTTGTACCCAGGGTGAGCGGACACAAGGTCCCAAGGGACTTACGGACCACCGCGCAGCGCCACCGCCTCTTCGGGGCAAGGCCTCGGAGGTTTTGGCCCACGGTTGCACCCGAAAGCGGGGTCGACTCCTGCTGCAAGCCCTACCACACTTAGGCCTCACCCCGCGTAGCCTCTCCAGCCCACGCACTCTGGCGAGGAGGAGGGGAGGAGGCGGAGGAGGAAGAGAAGGAAGAGTGGAGGAGGAGGAGAGAGTAGAGGAGTGAGGGGGCGAACGGGAGAAGGCGGAGGGAGGAGGGGGCGGTGTGAGGAGGAGGAGGGAGGAGGAGGAGTGACCGAGCTGAGCGAAGGAGGAGGTAGCACGATGAGGTGGATGGACGGAGGAACAGGACACGACGTATCTTAATTGTGGAGGGAGTTTCTGTGGAACTACCGTCATCCTCACCCCCGGCGCGGGGAGCAGAGGAGCCCAGAGCGGCCTCCGGCACCGTTTCCGGACAGATCCGGTGGATCCGCCGACGAATCCCAAACCGGCGCCCTCGCTTGAGACATCCTCACAAAACCGGCCCCGGGGGAGGTGCCCAGAGGAGCCCAGAGCGGCCTCCGGCACCGTTTCCGCGCAGATCCGCTGGATCCGCCGACGAATCCCAAACCGGCGCCCTCGCTTGAGACATCCTCACAAAAACCGGCCCCGGGGGAGGTGCCCAGAGGAGCCCAGAGCGGCTACGGCACCGACGGTTGTTTTTGTTTTCTTTTCCTTTTTGCCCGCGACAGATCGCGTCTGGACCTCCGAGCTGGATCCACGCGTGACGGCCTCCCAAAACCGGCGCCCTCGCGTGAGACATCCTCCACAAAACCGGCCCGGGAAAGTGCCCAGAAGTCACAGAGCTGGCCTCCGGCAACGTTATTTTCCTCATCCCTTTTTTTACCCTCCTCTATTTCTCCTGATCCGGTGGATCCGCTGGATCCGGTGACGAATCCCAAACCGGCGCCCTCGCTTGAGACATCCTCACAAAACCGGCCCGGGGGAGGTGCCCAGAGGAGCCCAGAGCGGCCTCCGGCACCGTTTCCGGACAGATCCGGTGGATCCGCTGGATCCGCTGGATCCGGTGACGAATCCCAAACCGGCGCCCTCGCTTGAGACATCCTCACAAACCCGGCCCCGGGGGAGGTGCCCAGAGGAGCCCAGAGCGGCCTCCGGCACCGTTTCCGGACAGATCCGGTGGATCCGGTGGATCCGCCGACGAATCCCAAACCGGCGCCCTCGCTTGAGACATCCTCACAAAACCGGCCCCGGGGGAGGTGCCCAGAGGAGCCCAGAGCGGCCTCCGGCAACGTTTCCGGACAGATCCGCTGGATCCGCTGGATCCGCTGGATCCGGTGACGAATCCCAAACCGGCGCCCTCGCTTGAGACATCCTCACAAAACCGGCCCCGGGGGAGGTGCAGAGGAGCCCAGAGCGGCCTCCGGCACCGTTTTTGGACAGATCCGGTGGATCCGCTGGATCCGGTGACGAATCCCAAACCGGCGCCCTCGCTTGAGACATCCTCACAAAACCGGCCCCGGGGGAGGTGCCCTGAGGAGCCCAGAGCGGCCTCCGGCACCGTTTCCGGACAGATCCGGTGGATCCGGTGACGAATCCCAAACCAGCGCCCTCGCTTGAGACATCCTCACAAAACCGGCCCCGGGGGAGGTGCCCAGAGGGGCCCAGAGCGGCCTCCGGCACCGTTTCCGGACAGATCCGGTGGATCCGGTGACGAATCCCAAACCGGCGCCCTCGCTTGAGACATCCTCACAAAACCGGCCCCGGGGGAGGTGCACAGAGGAGCCCAGACTCAGAGCGGGGACCTTCCGCACCGTTAGGGCACAGATCCGGACAGATACGGTGGATTCGCTGCCCCGGGGATGTGCCCAGAGAGGAACGCGAGGAGGATGAGGAGGAGAGAGGAGGAGGAGGAGGAGGCAGGAGGGAGGGAGAAGGTGAGGCGTAAGAGATGATGGGTCGTCGGGGTGGAGGGAGGAACAGACGGAATGGCGGGCGAAAGGATGGAGGAGAGGAGGAGGAGGAGGAGGAGGAGGAGGAACCTCATCCTCACCCTCGCCAACAAGCGCACGCACCTTCTTCTATATACAGAAACTCCCGATCAACCGCAGAGCGGCCGGCTAGTAAGGTCTGTGCGACCACTGGCCTCGACCTCGGTCGACGCGGACGCATCTACGGAGGAAGAGTGGGCCCCAGCTGGGTGGCGCTCAAGTTCTTTTTCGGCCTCCCGAGGGGCGGCAAACCCATTTGCCACTTCCGCCACCAGCAGGGCCCACAAAAAGATGGTGCCCGAGGCAGACCCGATCTCAAGATAGGCCTCGCATGCGAAGGCAAAAAAAGAAAAGGAAGAGAAAGAAAGAGAAGCAGGGCACTGCGGGAGACTCATCACCGCAACATGCCGCCGCCATTGGATATTCGAGCGATCCCCCCCCCCACACATCCCACTACAAATCCACCACCCAAGGAATGGAACGAAAGACTTAGCACAGTGTCGATGAGAGCATCTCACCGTTCAAGTGCCAGCTCTGCAGCACCTCGAATCTCAGATGTGCGCCCCAGAGTCATAGCAGTCTTATGAGCGAAACCTTTCGGTTTATGATACAGATGAAAAAGCCAATGCAACTGTTTTAAAGCATTCCTCACGCGTGAGTTCCGATCCCGCCCGCCCGTAGTCAGACGCCGCCCCCAGTCACAACAGCACAATCGGCGAGCCAGGAAAGTGGCGCCTTCTCCACGCATGGTGCATTGCGAGATGGTGATACATTCTCGAGTAACGCAGATAGTTAGCAATTTCATCAGGCTCTGCGCAGCCCCAGATGCAGCTCGTGGGAGCGTTGCCCATGTGCAATCTGTGCGTGGTTGCCCACGCTCCGCAGAGGTCTTGATGATACTCCATTGCCAGGCAGGCTTGAGACTCGCGATGCAGGCCCGACAGTGATCCCACCGTCCGACCACCGACCTCCGCCCCCCAGGAATCGGGACCTGCCACGCGAGAACCCTTTTGCCCAACGTCTCAGGAAAAGGGCCAGGGAAAGCGGCAGCTCAAAGCGCGCGTGCAAAAATGCGCTGTGGGTGCGGGCGGCGGGCTTCCTGGATGGCTAATTTGATGTGCTCACGCGCAGCACGAAACGCTGCATGCCATCCAGGCTTGTCAGGGAAAAAGGGGGCGGAAGCCTCGCTCGCTCCATGAATTGTGCGATTGAGAAAGGGCGCTGCCAGCATGGCGCTGAATATTTACCTGCAATGAAGCGAACGATCGTGGCACTGTCTCGGGTGTATTCTTTCAGACTGTGCAGTGCACGCTGCCATGCATGGCTCATAAGATGAAATGAGGTGCGCCAGCTGCTAGCCCATCCAAGCAAAGAGACAGAGGAGGGGGCAATGCCACAGATGGTAGAGCATTCAGATCAGCAAGACTGGGGCTGTTCGGCGGCAGCCTAAGCAGCTCGCGCAAAGCCTGATGCTCGATTTTACGAATCGCAGCAAGAATGGGGAACAGTTGGGCGAGGCACGGGAGTGTCGAGAGAGCGGCAGTTTCGCACAGAATTGAAAGAACAGACGGACCAGCCCCAGAGCATAGCAGAGCAATCGTCCTCGACCACCACTTCTCCGCTGCATTGGCCCACGTCATGCTAAGTGTGACTGCAGGGCCCATGTCGACCCCCAAGTAGACTGCATGGCCAGCGATCTTAAAGTTGGCCCACTGCGGGATCCACCAACTAAGCTCTTGTCGGACCCTGTCCTGGACAGCTTCCAACGCTCAACTCCCAGAGAGCAAAAAAAAAAAAAAAAAAAAAAAAAAAAAAAAAAAAAAAAAAAAAACGGGAGACATCAACCAGGTCTCGAAGGCGAGGCATCACCATTCCGACGTCGTCAGCACAACCCCCAAGAGAGCCCTTGTGGCGCCTCGCCTGCGGGAGCTGCGTGGCCGCGCGCAGGCATCTCAGGATGGGATCCATTGCAAGAGCCCTGAGAGAACCAGATAAAGGGCACCCTTGCAGGACCCCCGAGCAGAGATGAAACAGGAAAACGGTTCGATTTTGAATATCAGCAAAGCCTCGGGGTAAAAAGTATCACGGGTGGATAAAGTCCAGGAAACCTGGCGGGAGCCCAATCCTACTCATAATCT